TATATATATATATATATATATATATATATATATATATATACATGCCTAGCAATAATGAACGCCAAGATGCAAGGTGAAAGTAATGCTGGCTGTGATAGTTAAGGTTATGTGTCAGCTTTTGCTGGACCGTGATTTTCAATGGTAATGTAATGATGTAATTTGGTAGCATACAATGATGTAATCATCTTCCATTCTGTGATCTGACGTGGCCATCCTCCACTTACACATAAATGCCAATTTTCTCATAACAACCTGATCTTTGGAACCTAACCATGTCGATAAATGAGGAGAAGATGTAACTGAAGTGGTAAGTGCTAGCTCAGAGGCTGAGGAAACTTTTGTTTCCAGGAGGGAGTGACACTCCCTGCGAAAGTGGGGCTGAGGCCTCAGGGGCCAGCGGGAGGGGCAGCAGAGCATAGGGCTATTCTGCTGTATTCTGTTGCCTGTAGCTTGCATCCTTCTTGGGTTTCACTGGCAATTAACATGTCATGCATTTGCCAGAGCCTGAAGTCCTACCCAGTCCAAGGGCACCATCTTGGCTAAGAGTTCTGAGAAAGAACAATGGCTGCAAGTACACATTAACTTGGAATTCACTTCCAGAGCTCCAGATGCTCTGGTATCCATGTCTTGTCTGAAGTGCTCAATGGCCTGGACAAAGTAGGTTCCATTTTATAGATCAGGACACAGACATACAGCTAGTGTGTGCTATAACTGAGAAAGAACTTGTGATAGTTGGAGCTGTGTGTCAACTTGGCAGGACCCCAGTTCTGTGGGGTTGTTCCCATGATGGGATCAGATGACTGTGTTCTGAGTGGCCAATCTGCCCAAGGGGAGTTTCCCTAAGGGTGTGGCCTGCTTCCAGGATATCCAGGGACATCCTGGGAAGAGAGACTTTCTTCTGTGGATCAGGACCCTGGTGTACTGACTACAACCTTCCGTGAGTGAGCAGCCTACCACTCAGCCTGGAGATCTTGGATTCATCTTTTGTTGGAGTCAACAACCAGTGTACTGCCTGCCAGCCTTGAATTTCTCGGCCCCCCGCGGTTGCGGAAGCTAAGGCTGCCTCCAGCCTGACGTTTCCTCCAGGGACTTTGGACTTGCTGGCTTTTATATGTTTGTGAGCCATTTTCCTAACATAAATTTCTCTCTCTCTCTCTAAGCTTTTCTGGTTTTTGTGTCTCTAGAGAACCCAGTCTAACACAAAACTCTACTCAATGTTAATGAAAAAGGGGAAGATGACTTAATTATCTATTTTTGCCTACCACAAAAGAGAGTTGGGTTAAAACATACAAGTGTTAAAATAGTTAACTGGAAGTAAAACACACTAAACGAAGATAAGATATGCTGTTACCTTTTTTTTTTTTTTTTTAACTTTTAATGTGGTTTGGGCGAATTAGCGCAAATTCATTTTGCATTCAACAATTTGTACACATTTTGTTTCATTACATTGATTGCAATCCTCACAATGTAACAGCATTCTTCCCATTCCTCTCTATGTAGATGTGCTGTTACTATATAATCATAAAATCAGAAAGAAGCACTCAGATAACCTTTCATTTAAAACATGGGGCTCAGTGAGATCCAAAGTGATAAAACTTTTTTTTAATTTAATTTTTGTTTTTATTGTTGTTGAGAACATGTACAGCAAAATACACCAATTCAACAGTTTCCACACATACAATTCAGTGACGCTGATATACTCTTGAATTGTGCACTCATTCTTACCCTCTTTTTCTGAGTTACTTGTCCCCAGTAACATAAATTCATTGCCCCCTAAGGTTCCTATCTAATCTTTTGAGTTGCTATTTTCAATTTAGGAGCTCTGGTAGCATAATACCTAAGGCATTTGACTGCTAACTTCAAACCCACCAGCCACTCCTCAGAAGGAAGGTTGAGCAATCTACTCCTATCGTGATACTGCCTCGGAAACCCAAGGAGGGGTCACTATGGGTTGGGTACGACTCGTTGGCAGTGTGTTATTGTCAATTTGATCACACATACACAGTTCTTTAATGAGTAAAATGCTTAAGGCAGACTTTTTTTTTTTTTTTACTAGTTAAGCTAAACTATGGTTTTAAGAAGACTTCAAGGTATACTATTAGTTTAAGGTTTAAAGATTATCTCAGGGCAACAGTTTCACAGGTTCATCTGGCTTCCATGGCTCTACAAAGTCTAGAGTCCATGACCAAAGTGATCAAACTTGACATCACCAACAACAGGATGAACTGATCTCACTGAAATCCTGAGAAAAACATGTCACCCTTTGTCATGGGTCATGATAAAAATGTTTTACCTGAATATAATCAATGAGGGACAGTCTATAAAATAACTAGCCTGAACTCTTCAAAAATGTCATATCACAAGAGGAGTAAAAAAAAGATTTGGGAACAGTTTTTAATTAAAGAAGTCTAAAGAGACATTATAACTAAATGCAATGAGCGATCATGGATTAGACAGTGGATTGAAAAAAATTAAGCTCTAAAGTACTTTGTTGGAAAAATCAGGGAAATTTGAATGTAGAATGCTTGTTAGATAATAGATTTAATCATGTTAGATTTTTTGAGTGGGAGCATTGCATTGTAGTTATATAAGACAATTGCCTTTTTAGGAGATATATACAGCAATTTAGAGGTAAAGTGTCATGATGTTGGCAACTGACTCAAAAGGTTCAAAAGAACAAAGAAGCAGTAAACTATCCACTCCTACTGAGAAAGATAAAGCTAGCAGAGCAACTGTTAACAATGGAGAATCCAGGTGAAACGCATATGGGTTGTACTATTCTTGTAATTTTTTAAGACTTGAAATTTTCTAAAATAAGGTGTTAGGGGGAAGTTTTTTCTTGTTTTTTTTTTTTTTAAAGGAAATGGAGTGATGACTGGTGATGTAAAAAACAAAGCAAAAAGGAATGTACTCTGGTCAAAACCCTGAGAAAGAATCTCCAAGAACCTAACATACTAAGAACACAGTCTTTTTCCTTTAGCTGAAACTATGGACAGATAATTAAATGGTCTTTTTCGAGTATTAAAATAATATTTTTTTTCCATCAAAAAGCCAAACTCACTGTCATCGAGTCAGATCCTACTCATAGCGACCGACCCCTCCTTGTGTTTCCAAGGCAGTATCACTACAGAAGTAGATTGTCCAATCTTCCTTCTGAGAAGTGGCTCGTGGGTTTAAACTACCAGCCTTCTGGTTAGCAGTCAAGTGCCTTAGGCACTACGACCTAGTAATATATATTAACTAGATCAGTCACATTCGATTTATAAGTTGTACAGAATTATGCAGAAGCAGGCTGAATTACTTCCTATTTGAGTTGTAATCAGAAATGAGGGAAAAATATAGGGAAGATCAGCTTACTGTGCAGTACTTAAAGCTAAAGAGAGCCTGGAAATCCATGCTTAATTTACCTGGGGTTTGAGTCACCTGCTTACTGACCATTTTGGTCCTTGCTCTGGGAATACATATTGCAAAGGAGTATGGAAAGCACTTTGTGTGTGTGTGTGGAAAGCATATTTTTGCAAGTGGAAGAAAGAAGTATTACTTTTAAAGGCCTACCTGTTTCACTTGGACAAATGTCAAGGGATAAAGGCTTTTTGTGGGCCCAGAGGGAGACAGGATATTCAAAGCTTCTTCCACTGTCTTTACCTAGAAAGAAACAAAAGCGGCATTCCCTGACTCACCCATCACCAGTAATCACAGTAGAAGGCAGCATCACTTTCCAAGTTATTAAGGACATTAGTGGATTTAACCAAGGCCCCCCAAAATAAACATCAATCATTTAAATTCCACTCCATGTTGCTTCCCAGTCACCTGCAGTCCTCCATCCACTCCCTAACCCTTGATGAAAAACTGTAAATGATGGTCATCTTAAAAGTATTTCAAACACATCTGATGAGAAACACACCTCCTAAGAGATACATAAACAAAAGAACCCAAATCAGTTGTGGAGTTGATTGCAACTCATGATGACCTCATGGGTGTCAGAGCAGAACTGTGCTCCAAAGGTATTTCAATGGTTGGTTTTTCAGAAGTAGGACTTTCCTTCTTTTTAGGGGTCTCTGGGTGAACATGGAACTCTAGCCTTCTATTAATGGTCCGGTGCTTACCTGTTTGTACTACCCAGGGACTCCATCATAGGCACCTGACGTGAGTCAAAACCAAGGCTCAGAGGTTGTCTCCTCTGTAACACCCCCAAGTGAAATACTTGTGGCTGTACATTCCTCTGAACTTGTCCAAGTCATATTTCCATGCCTGTATCACGTATCACTTGTTTACCTTTGTTCTCTTCACTTGTCAGCTCCTTCCGAGCGGGGTGTGTACTGGTATAACTCCAGTCCCCAGCACACAGTAAGTACACAGTCAATAAATGTTTATTTTACTCAAGCAAAAGGATGTGTATTCTTGTAACCCAAGATGCTTACCATAATGCAACAACCACAACAACAGCTACCACTGCATACCTACCACACTCCAGATGACACACAGATTTTACACACACTACCTTATTTAATCCCCACAACCACTCAGTGAGACAGGCATTAGCCCACGAGAAGAAACAGAGGTTCAGAAACGTGAACATGAGTAATGGCAAAGCCAAATTTTACAATTGGGTATGACTTCAAAACCTGAGACTTTCCATGGCTTGATACTGATTGGGAATTTCAGAAACATTTTCCAGGGATACTTTGTTGATGTGGAGTGTGTGTGGGGCGGGGATCTTAATTATTACTTCATCAAGTCAGCTACGCACAGGGGTGTTTTCCACCTGGACAACTAACAGAATTCAACTCAGAGTGAAAGCTTTTATTCTGTAAAACTACAATCTTAATAAATTTAATTCTGGTCTATGCCAACTTGCTATCTTAAGTTGTATAGATTTAGTTTATAATGAAAACCCATTTGCAGTAATAAAATTTTCCTTTATGATAAGCAGCATGTGCTTTTGAGTACTAAGCTATCTTTGCTTTAGCACTACCATTGTTTCAAACATTTGCAGTTATTTTTTGTTACATAAGAATAAACTTCCAGTGCTCTAAAACAAACAAACCTCTTCCTTAAGTAGCACTAGCAGTGAACAAATGGGGGTGTTCCTTTACAAATGCGATTAAAGTCTGATTAATCTAAAGAAAGATTCCTATCAGGTAAAGAGACCACATTTTTTTGTAGAACGTGGCCCACATACTGACACTGGGTGGAAAATGTTACAAGAGCCCAACAGAGTTTTACCAGTGGAAAAATTATATAATCATGTTTGGCATTTTGCTTAAAGATAAAAACTTGTGATACTATTTTAGGATATAAAGATTCTTAAGAAATATGTAACTGTGTTCAGGTTTTTATTTTTGTTGGTTTTTTTTCTTTTAAGTTAAAACATGGAGGAGTTAAGGGATTGTAAGAGGGGAAAACCTGAAGACAGAGACAGTCAAAACAAACTGACTTTAGCTTAAGTCACTCTGATACTTAACTAAATTTTCTTTCTCTTCCCCTAGAATAGCATGCCCTTAACTCCTAATTCTGATAAATTTCTATCATTTCCTCCCTCGTGGAGTGGCATCACTAGGGTTGGTGTCACCCAAAGGCAATAACTCAGGGCGTCCCCCCATGGATCTCCTCCTGTACCAGACTATACAGAATACGTGACAAATATTATAAATTGCTTATATATAGTATTTCTAGATTCTATGAATACTAAAACCAATTTGTTTTGTAAACTCTTTCTACATTCAACTAATGTTGAATTATAACATTGTCACATTAGTTGTAACTGAGTAGAAGCCTTTTTTTATTCTCTTTTCCTTTACTTCTTTATTTTCAAAAAAGTTATCGCTGTAGGTTCACAAATACTACGTATCACATTACAGTAGCTAAAACACCAGAAAATTTGACAAAATCAGCAACTAAATACACCAGGAGCAACAAAAACAACAGCAAGTGCTTGCAGCATGTGCAGATGAAACCGTACAATTCAAAGCGTCATTATAATTGGGTAATAATGACAGCTCTGACCAAAGCTCATTACCAAAAAACCAAACTCACAGCTCAAAAAGTAAACGAGCATAGAGTTTTAGTTTTGTACATATATTGATACATGTAAGATAAAAAATAAACTCACTGCTTTCGAGTTGGATCTGACTCATAGCGAGTGACCCCTCCTTGGGGTTCTGAGGTGGTATCAATACGGAAGTAGATTGCCCAGTCTTCCTTCCGAGGAGTGGCTGGTGGGTTTGAACCACCCTTCTGGTTAGCAGTCAAATGCCTTAGGCACTATGCCACCAGAGCTCCCACATGTAAGATAGGCTTATGTAAAATGTTTCTGTTGTTATAACTATAGAGATATTTTTATAAGAAATAAATTTCTGCTGAAACATTCAACAAAAATTTTGTCGACAGACATTTTGGTGTCACCCCTTTGACAGTGTCACCCAGTGCAGTCTGCACTGCCGCCCCACCCCTCTAGTGACATGACTGTCCTGAAAGTCCCATTTACCATACAGACTATAGACCACAGAAGTTAAGACATGGTTTTGAGACTTGGGGGTGGGGTATAATTTAGGTCAGAGACCTATCAAAATGCCTGTGGCACTTGGGAACCACCTAGAAAACAAGTGAATTACAAAAAAGAACCTCATGCTGTTCTACAAAGGCTCCAGGCACACTTTGGACAACTGACAATGAACCCAAATGACCTAAAGGATTTAAGAATGCTTTCAAACTCCCCTACCTCCTCCTGCTCAAACCCTAGCCCATCAAATGTGCACATATCCTCTCACCTCCCATGTCCCCATTTTCCCAGAAACACCCTGTACCATATTAATTCCTCAGAGGGGAGATTCACAGAAAAATAACCAACTGACTCCCCAGCATAGCACTTTCACTCTCTGCACTAAACTCCACTTCCTCACTCCCTTCTCACTTTCAACTTAACACTTCTGGTTTTGAGAGGTTATTTCTTACCTTTTTCAGGGCAACTTTTCCATATGCAAACTTTGGTGTGGATGGAGGGACAGGGCCATTTGGTACTTTCTCAAACTATAAATCAGAGTGGAAAAAGAGAGAAAAGAAAAAAGCTGTTAAACCCTCAGATATATCCATAATATTCATTTTTCAAAAGGGTGGGGGTCAAGAATAATCAAACAGCAGTGCTAGTATTTGGAAAGGCAAAGGAACAAAGGGATTCCCTCCAAAAAAGGTTTTGGTAAAAAAATTTAAAAAAAATCTAAGCCTCAGGAATCATTCAAATAATTATGGAATAAAAGACTTCAAAACAAACAAGTAGAGAGAATGAGAGTGGCAGCAGGAGAAGGTGGCATGGGAGAAGAAAACAAAAAAGGTACACAGCAAAACAAAAATGAAGGGTGGTAGCGTATAGAAGAAAAATTAATCCTGTGGTAGATTAAAGCATTATAAAACTAAACAACAACAAAAAACTCACTGCTGTCTAGTCAGCTGTGACTCATAGTGACCCCTCTTTGGGTTTCCAAGGTGGTATCACTACAGGAGTAGATTGCCCAATCTTCCTTCCAAAGAGTGGCTGGTGGGTTTGAACTGCCAGCCTTCTGACAGCAGTCAAATGCCTTAGGCACTATGCCACTAGAGGTCCTTAAAGCATTATATCAATGCTCAATTTACTGTGGCTATGTGAGAGAATATTCCTATTATTATGAAATGTACACTGAAGTATTTAAGAGTAAATGACCATCATAGATGTTGTCAGGAGCCACTGAGCCAGCTCTTGGCTCACACTGACACTATGTATAACAGAACAAAATGTTACCCAGTCCTGTACCATCCTCACAATAGTAGGTATGTTTGGGTCCATTGTTGCAGCCACTGTGTCATGGTTTAGAAAATATACACACACTGAGGCAAAGGGGGAGAGATGGAAGTAGGGGAGAGAATACAAATGACAAAGCAAATAAAGTGTTATCATGAGTATATTACTTGGGAGGGAAATATATAAGTGTTCTTTGTACTGTTTTTATTCTTAAACCTTTCCTCCAAGCATGGAAGTGTTTTAAAATAGAAAGTTAAAAAAGAAAAATGATACTTTATTAAAGATTATACATTATATATAAGGAGCTCTTGTGGCAAATCTACTTCCTTAAGATTTACTGCCTCAAAAACCCAATGGGTTACTATGACTTGGCATTGACTTGATGGCAGTGAGTTTTTTGTATTATATGTGTGTGTGTGTGTGTATACACACACACTTATTTATACACTTACACACACACACACACATTAGTGCCCAAAGACTTGGGTCTAAGTCCAGGTCTTGGAAAAGTTTCTCACCATCTGGCATCTCCAAGGAGGTTGCTTCCCTCCCTCTTTTCCTTTCTTTCTTTTAAAAGTAATAATAAAAACTAATGATTTTTAGGAAAGACCAGGCTTACTGGTCTGAAAGAGACTGGTGAAATTCCCGAGACTATGGCCCCTAGTCACCCCTTGGGTGTGGAAATGAATTCACTGCTGTGGCTTAACTTCCAGCCAAACAAGACAGGTCTACAAGGTGAACAATTACACAATAGGTATAGTCCTTAAAACAATCACTCATGGAACATCAGAAGAACAGCATTTGTTCAGAGGTAATGGCTGCATAGAAAAGGACACAAGGAAAAGGTAACCACAGGGAGAAAGTAGGAAAAGGGCTGTTACATTGTGGGAACTGCAGTCAATGTCACGAAACAAAATGTGTATGAATTGTTGAACAGAAAACAAATTTTCTATGTAAACTTTCGCCCAAAACACGATAAAAAATAGAAATGAGAAAAGATTTTAAAAAGAAGAGAACAAAAGACTGTTACAAAAAGCAACTTTTCTCTTAGTTCTGTTCTTCAGAGAAAACCATTTAAAAACCATTTACTTGTTCTTATTTCTGTTTCTTCTGCTCTCCATATAATATGCTTACACTGCTATTTCTTGCTTGATAATTTAAAATACTATCACTGAGAATTCAGCTTAGTTGTACTACCCTCTTCCTCCTGATATGATTATGTCATCATTTTCAGTTTCTTTACTGGTTGCTTTTGTAACTTTAAATGATATCCTTATACCTTTATTTCTTAGTTTCATCAATTAAGACTTCCTCTGTGTGCACACTTTTAAAGATAAGGCTATTAGCATCCTTCCCTGAGTTCTCCCAACTTTTGGAGTGTTCAGCTGAATAGTCTGTCCTATAACCATGAGATAAATCCCTTCCATGTATACACAGGCTCTGAATTAAAAAATCAATCAACATGCTTACATTATTATAATTATATAACTATTATTCTGCATAGCCAAGTGGTATAGAGGATAATAGGAAGGCATATTCTGTCTTATTCAGCTTTTCCTGTTCTTTTCCCCCTGGAACATCTAATTGCCTCTCTTTTTTTTCCTTCTGCCTTTAGGCTGACATCTCATTAGGTTGTTCCAAATTTCCAAAGATAGTATCAAGTTTCTTTAAACAGACCTCATTTCCCCCAGAAAACTCCCTTCTGGCGCCTTTAGTCTTTCTGCTTCAAGAGACTGACTACTCTCTAGGCTTGATTTCCCTTCATTATTCTCCTGTCTTTGAGCGCCTGCTTCTAAGAGCTCAGGATTTCATTTTACTGTAGCAACTAAGTAACTACCTAAGAATTGGTATGTGGGAGGTGAACCTTCTTCAATCTTTGAATGTCTGAAAATGTCACACTTGGTTTATCATTTTAATGGGTATAGAATTCTATGTTGAAAAACACCTTCCCCCTCAAAATGCCAAAGGTATTATTCTGTTGCCCTCTATGACTCATATCTTGTCCACTGTGACTCATGCCAACCTCATTCTTGTTCCTTTGAAGATGACGGGTTTGTTTTCTTTCTCTCTCTATATATTTCTCTCTCTCTCTCTCTCAGCTTATAAACTCTCTATTTTCAATGTGCTAAAATTTTCTAAAGATGTGTCTGGGTATGTATATTTTTTGCATCATTATGCTGGGCAACAGAAAGCACTTTCAGTTCTGGAAAAATTCAGGGTTTTTTTTGTTGATATTTTATTTTCATCTTTATTACTAAGAAGTTGGACACCTAGACTGATGTCTTTTATCTTTTCTCTATTTCCATCCCTATCTTTGGATTCTACTTTCTAGGAGATTATTTTTAATTTCCAATAAACTCCTTCTTGTTTTCTAGGGGTTCCTTTTTCAAAGTATCCTTTTCTTATTTTTTACAGATGCAATATCTTCTTAAATCACTCTTGAGGATATAAATTTGAGAGGTACTGCTTGGTTTTGCTTAAGATCTCTCTTGTTCCCTAAATTCTCTGTTGCTTCTAGGTCCTTTTTCTGCTAATTTTGTCTCAGTCTTTCTCTTTTGAGTTGCAGGCTTTCTGGTTGCCCTCAGATGTTGGGGTCATTCTTGGTTGTCACTTCACATTTAAAGGAATGAACATGAATGTACCAGCATCTGCATAATTACCTCTGTCTACAAAGCAAGTATCCACTGGGGAGCTTTGTTTTAGGGTAACTGGGCAAAGAGCCAAGGAGTATATGAAGGTCTTTGCTCTGGGGCTGTTTACTGTTTTTTTTCTTAATTCCTCTGGTTTTATGACTTGTAGAAAAGTGCCTCCTGCTGAATAGTCTATGTAAAAGTGGGGCAAAGAAGTATAAGACCTGACAGGAAACGTACAGTTACATATAAATTTATAGGGTTTAATTAACTCTCATTTTCAGCTAATTTCATTCCCACAATTAATCACACTTCCTTTCTAAGACCTCAACTCTGCAGGGTTCTTTGAGACCGTCCACTCCCTCCTCCCTGTTCCTGGGACCTTCTTCCATGCTTACTGGGGACTGAGCCTTTATCCTGCTTCCTCTGTCACCACACTTATACTTACTTTCAATTTTCCAGAAACCTTTTAAAATCTCTCAGGCATGAGAAGTTCCCCTTCGTAGTGTCATTACTTTGTTAAAATTCCTTTCTTCTTATTTAGCAACATTTTAGAAAGCAGAGGGAATACACAGGTGGTCAGTTGGCCCTCTTGAACCAGGAAGTCTTAATTGACTTCTAATATTCAGTGAATCTAAAATTCTGAGACATTCTGAAAGATAGTATTAAAATAGATGATTCTCAGGCCAGTTACTGCTGGTCTTAGATAGAATGAGAAAGAGCAGATGTTATAAGATCTCTCTTCCCAACTTTACCTGAAATCTAGATAATATCTTTTCCCTTATGTTAATTTATGTACCCCATCCTCGTCAATGAAAGCAGAAAACACCAATCCTCAGAAGATACCTGAGAGCAGTATGATCTATTTTCTGAGGTCCTCTATTTGCCTCCACACAGCAGTGACCACGTCATATCCAACTCCTAAAGTCAAAGTGGATTGCTGTAGGTAATCTCTTCTACTGCATTGGAAGAAAAATCACTGCACCCAGTAGTGCACTTTGGGTATATACACCAAAGAACTGAAAGCAGGGACTCAAACAGATACTTGTATACCAATATTCAGCACTGTTTACAATGGCCATAAGGTGGAAGCAACCCAAATGTCCATTAACAGATGAATGGAGAAACAAAATGTGGTATATACACACAATGGAATATTACTCAGCCATAAAGAGAAATAAAGTTCTGATACATGCTACAACATGGATGAGCCTTAAAAACCATTATGCAAAATTAAATAAGTCAATCACAAAAGGACAACTAGTGTATGATCCTACTTGCATGAAATATTTAGAACAGGTAAATGCATAGTAACTAGTTTATTAGTAGTTGCTGTTGTGCCCAGGTTATGAAGGAGATGCTTGGAGAGGAATATGCCAACACACGACAATGCAAATGCAATAGGAAAGTTTATTAGCTAACTTAACTTAGGGTCTTTGCCCTTACCAGGTCAGTGGCTTAAGCAAAAGACCCCGTGCTCTGGTATTCTCACAAATTTATGGAACAATATGGGGAGGGGCAGCACCAGGGCAAGAGGGTACAGATGATTGGTTGTTGCTAAGGGATTTAGGGCAGTGATCTAAGATGTTGGGGGACGTAAAGAAACCCCCCGGCTCCAAAGTTCA